AAGGAAAGAGCCAAATAAGCAGAGCGAAGGAAAGCGGATGACACAAACGGCGGGGGACGGAGAAGCGCAAATATTGAAGAGCAAATTGAATTTTCATATGCGGAGCGCAAAAGGTAAAAATGCGTAAGAGTGTGGTACCACCCACACAACCACCCAACCACCCACCGCCCACAGCCCGCACATGGTCCGAAGTTTTATTTTATTTTTGTTTTCCTGCAGCGCAGCACTTTGGGATGGCCCCACACACACTCACACACAACAGTTTTATTTTATGGAGGTGGTGGGCACAGCATTTTTGCTTTTATGTTCGACAGATTTTCGTGTTGGTATGTGGAACATGCTGATTCCCAGTGATTACAATTGTTGTACTCCTGGACCTAGCCTTGCCTCTTCCCTGGGCCAAAGCAACGCTGCCAGGAGCGGCGAAAAGCACAGCGCACAGACAGATAAATAAAAAGAACAACAAACTTTGGATTCGTATGGGTGTAACAGGCTTGCGAAATTTTCGCACACGAAACATTGGTAAAATGGGACAAAAAATATATATTTTTGCAAAGAAAGTGCGAATGGTGCTGGAACACTTGATATGCTGTACAAAATATTGTGTTATATTTTGTTATATATTTTAAGATTTATATTTATTTAAGGTCTCGCTGAATAGCTTGATTATATTTTAAAATTCAGTTATTAAACCAAAATGTTAAAAATCTGAATAGTTTTACTGAAAACCCTGTTACATATCCCAAAAATATCATTCAAGAGATATACTAAATATCTTTTAAGACAAAAATGTCTTAAATATTTCTTTGAATGGTTTATACTAGTTGCCTGAAACAAATTCCTGCTTCTCTAATTCATATAGTCTTTTTTAGATTAATTTCTATAAATAAAATTAATTAACTTCCACTTCTCGCTATCAAAAACATCTCTGCTTTTGCCCAGTACTAGGTATTAAACACAAAAAACAAAAAAGTTTCCAAGTTTTTTTATGCTGCTCGTTACAATTTTCGTGATGTTCTGCTGACAACTCAACAGAGATCAAGTTATTACATGTGGGTGGTGGGCAGGCAGGAGATATAGAGGTATATAGATATGCAAAGGGAGCAAGTGAAAGAGAGATAAATGTAGGGGGATTTTGACGCGGTTGCCGCCGCGCTCGGGGTCCTGGCCGAGATCGAGACCGAGACCATAGCCGGGCCAGAACCGTTGACAATTAAGGTGAATGAATATTTTAATATTGGCAAACAGATTACACATGTGGGCAATGTGCACAGGCAGTCGTGACTTGTATGTCCTTCGATGGATGAAACTGCGGAAATTCGGAATTGGCACGCGGATCAGGGGCTGGAGGGACTAAGGGACGAGGAAGAGGGCCCTTCGAGTAATGGCCCAAAATTTAATTCAATAAAATTGTTGGCACAATACAAAAGCAAAGTAAAATGACGCTTTCGGCCAGTTAAAAATATATATATTTTATTATTTGCTCTCCACAGCGCAGAGATGAAACGTGAATTTCGCTTTTAATTATGGTTTTTCTTTTCTTTATTTATTTATTTATTTAAATTATGTTTCTACAATTAAGCAAGAGAGTTGGTGTCACCTTTTTGATGGAATATTCATAAAATTAATTAAAGAAACAGGAAAGAAGTCGTCAGCTTACACTTTTAAATTTGATGTATTTTTTCCTGCTTGGGAAAATGTCTAAATTTCAATTTATATACCTTTAGTTTAAAATTATAATTAAAACATTTCATTAAAATATAAGAAAGTAATAATTATAATTGCTTTAAGTAAAGGATATGTTGAGGTATGTATGAAACCGCGTTTAAATCATAACAAAACCCAACTCTAACTCCTCACTCAAATAAATGCGACATATTTAAATAAATAGATCCTTTTAATTGGTTAATTTTTTAAGCAAGCCGTAAATTTTACCGTCCACACTAATTTCCCCCAGCAAATTTATGAAAGTATCCTTGTCGAGAGCAGACCAACAAGCTCATCAACTGCTAAGTGCATGGCGGAAGGCCGGAACTGCTGTCCCTTTTAAAACGTCAACAGTTGAGGGGGACGAGCTCCACCGAGCGAAAGAAGGACCAAGGCGATGATGATGATGATGACGATGCCGTTGTCGATGACGACGATGGGGTGTGAGCTGCTCTTCCCTTGCGAGGGAAGGGTGTGCTAGGAGCGGGATGCGTTCAAATGGCAGATTAATTTGCCCAGAGAAAGAGTGAAGGGGAACGTGCCGAATTTCTAATCAAAATTGCCGCAAAACAGCAGTTGCAGCAGACAAAAATGGATTGTTTCAGGACTGCACAGGGAAAGTACATGTGTTTGCAGGGGCCTCGTGTCCGCGTGTGCGTGCGATTGAGGGGAAATCAAAAGCGCTTTGGTTGGCAGTAAAACTTGATGAAAATCGATTTTAATTACAAAGTCAAAGCGCGTAATTGCTTTTGCACCTAACTCGAGTGCCGAAGCACTTTGCCTGAAATTTTTGCATACTATTTTCAACTGGACACTGGATGTGGAGTAGGCAGCGTTTGAAGCCTGTTTCAAATTGATTGGAGTTTCCTTCTTGACTGATTTTTGAAAGTATTAAGCTTTCCGCTGTGGAATATATATGTCTTCTGTAGGCCTTAAATAACAAAATTGGTAAGCAAAACTAATCCTTTGCACTAAGGTTGCATCACGTTTCTGCAGCTAGCTTGATTTAAATAAAATTTTACTTTCGCATATTAAAAAAGTTTTGCATTTTTCATCTGAAATAAGAAAAGTTTTTGGGTTTTGCCTCCGTTTATTGCCGTGCTGTCGTTTTTTGTTGTCTTTTTCGTTTTTATAGAAGAACGTCAAGGCTTTCGAGACTACAAATCGGAAAAGCATACAATAGTTTCGGGAGTTTAAGTCCTTAAAATATAAATAACTTGATTTTTTTGCTCTACTAATTGATAAAAACCAAAACTAGAAAGGTTTTTAAAAGAATAAATATATATTTACAAAATAAAGAAAGAGTCACCGAATAAAACTCGTTCGTTTCTGCCAAACTTTGCGTATCCTCGACTTTCAGACAAGTTTTCCGCAGCCTTCCAAATGTGGGGAAAACTAAAAGAACATCTTCCAGCCACTTGCCAAACTGCAGAGCAGTTAGCTTCCCCCGCCACCAAATCGCTGGTCTCTGCGTAATATTTTATGTTGAATTATGGCGCCTATTGTGTTGGTGAGCTTCTTGGGGGCGTGCCATTTGCAACGTGTTTTATTTACAGACGAAGGCGTGCAAAAAATTAACACCAACACTGCGGGCCTGGGACGGGGGAATGGGTAGCCTAAACCAAATGGCTGTGCTCAGGTAGAGGTAAAATAACCGAGAAACCTGGCAGGCTGTGGTTCTTTCGCCGGCTCTGCTCGAACTTGCTTATGAAGATTTATGTGATGTTGTTCTTGCATCGCTGCCTCTGCCAGACAGCAGCCAACAGGAGAAAGAACCAAACTTCCAAGTTCTTATACTCTCTTGCATTCCAAGCCACATGCATTGGTTTATATATTTTTGAGATCCGTGCGGTTTTTCTTTTAGTCTCGGGTATAGTTTTTAAACTGCTTTTGCTGGATTAGTCAAGCAAATTAAATTAATTCACAAATATTCTGCCTAGATTCAAGTCTACAGAGCTAATTATCCTTATAAAAACTAGTTTGTCAATTGGATAAAACTAATCAAAGGCATGTTTGACACGGATCAGCAACTTCTGAAGTGTATTTACAATTGATATACTTTAAAATTGTTCATTCTTTCAAAATCCTTAATACTATTGGTGCAGAGAATATATCAGCTAATACAATAATTTTTTTTTAGAATTTCTTCTAAACTGGACGATATAAATTTCAATAAATTCCAGGTCATAAACATGCCCTCAACTTAGGTGGCTCTCAACCGGATATCCGATCGCACTCACATTCACTCGTCGCCGTTTCCTGCAACGCTCTCTTCTCCTCCTGTTTATTGGTTCTTTCACACGGAAGTGATTTGCGCTTTTGTCGCTGCCACTTTCGCCAGCTTCCGCTTTATTCTTTTCTTGGCTTTTGATAAATCCATTGCCCCGTTGATGTCAACGATGCGTCGCCGTCATTGAGCTTCGCTTCGAGCACAACTCATTGTCGCAGGAAAAGGAGCAGTAGGATCCCAAGGATCCGAGGGAGCGGGGAGCCAGGGGCAGTGCCAGAGGAAGCGGCGCAAAATTGAAGCTCTCATTGGAGCCGGCTGTTGTATTGGCACTTGAAAGCTTGCGATAAGGAAGTCAAATTGTAAGGCAGCCCTCAACAATGGGCGCACACTTCGTCGTTTAGTGCTGAGGAAGAGCAGCTCCTGGTCCCGCCACACCTCCCAGAGCTCGAGAGCATTGCGCTCCGGGCACTTCCGCCCTGCACTCGGCTGCTTAGTTGCATTCCTTAAAAGGCGGAATTCTGTAGCATTGTTTAGCTGGTGTCTCCGAGACTTACGTAGGCAAAACATTTCACACAAACTTACTATTAGCGAAATATGTCTTGGGCTTTTGAATAAAACAAAAAGAGAAAAACAAAATGGAGTATGAAACTTCTTTCCTCTATTCAAGAGAGAACAAGCAACCGAACGCTATTTGCACTCTAAACTGATTGTGTCGATTTCCAAAGCTGGTGCAATAAATCACCCGCTGACTGGCACTTTATTAATTCACTATTAGAGCAGAGAAAGATAGAGTTCAACAACGATTGTAATTAACTGCCAAACTAGAATCGTTATCCCGCTTCCTATTTCCCCACATACATATCCTCGTCTGTATGTGCGCACACGAATGGAAACGTAAATCATTTTAAATTGCTTTTTGAGCATTCCTAAATGATTCGACAGCCGGCCCAGACCTATCTGCCCCTCTAATCCACGTGTGGCCACTTTCATACATTGGACTCACCTGTCCTACGGTTATCTGTTTATATTCTAGTAATACCCTTGTTCTCTTTGGGTACTCGGGTATTCCTTGAAAGTAAAGTCATTTCGATGCTGATTTTAGGACACATCTAAATTAAAATTCTTTGCATGGAGGGTTACAACCATTCGCAAGAGCCCCTGAGTCTGAGGGAAGAGTTTCGTTGTAAACGTTTTGGTCTAAGTCACGATTCCCCCTTCAACTTTCTGCGCTCCCAAGTTGGTAACTTGAACTGATCACGATGCTATAACCAATTGTTATTCAATCTTCTAGTGGCAGTCAAAGCCTAAATCGCGCTGCTTCCTGGTTTACCGCTGCCTGTTGGGCTCCGTTTTTGGAACCGGAGTTATTACTTATACAGTGACATACTTTCAGCATGGTCATTGTTTCATCTACCTGACGAATTGGTCCTTTTACATGTGCGGCATTACCAGTGTTTATGCTGCTATACTGCAGATAGTATATCACTTCAAGAAGGAATCGTGGGGTAATTCTTGAAATAACTAAAAGGTATTCACCTATATGTTGCACTTATATGTATGTTCCAGTTCCCCCCAGTAGTCTGATCAAGTGCTACTGGGCCTGCTTCTGGATTACCCTGTGCGCAGAACATTTGGTGGCGATTACTTATTGGACATTGATATATCCTAGCGACCGGGTACCCACCAATCCAACGTATGTCTCCGATCTTTTTAACATCTGGACCCATGCTGTCCCACCTATCGTCTTCACAGTCGATAATTTCGTGGTGGCCCAGCCAGCCAGGCTTATGCACTTTGTCTACCCAGTAGGCTTTGGCTTGATCTACCTAGGATTCACGTTCATCTTTTACCGCGCAGGAGGTCGAGACTTGTAAGAATGGCGGTTTGAATTCAGCCACCATTAGGAGTATTATTTCGCTTTTATTTTCAGGAGGGGACGTAGCTTTATATATCCATTCCTGGACTACTCTAAGCCAGCAAAAATTGCTCTATTCACAGCTGCGGGTGCAATTGCGCTAACTGCTTTTTCCGGCCTCCAGTATGGAGTGTATCGGCTAAGGACATGCCTGGCGCACAAGTTTGGCAAACTTATCTTGGACACAAGCTAATCGAAAAAAGTATAGAAAAATTTAGTTTTTAACTAGTACTTATGCTGCATTTTGTAGGATAAATATTGACATTTTAAATGGAACAAGAAATTTAGAAAAAGGACAACGAGAAGGAATTTAAAGGTATACTTTATCTGGAACCGCTGGAACTTGGAAAATTAACTCTGGAACTCTGATGTCCAATTATAATATTTTTTACAAATATATTACCTTAAAAATAGCTCAGTAGCTTGAAGTACTTGAAGGAAGATTCATCTTCGATACCATAAAGTGTATCAATATGTCCATGTAGGCATTCTCTTCTGTTCGAACTTAAAACCTTCAAGATGCCGGCTTCAGAGGGAAGTTGGTGCTCGTCTCCCGACCAGAATCCCCTACTAGGATTACGAGCTGCGTATCCCTATTCACGGCCTTAAAAGGGCACCCTTGTTAGTAGTACGTGATCAAAAATGCAAATAATTACAAAATTAAACTGTGCGCAAAGCGAAGAAGCCAAGAGCCATGAACACAAGGCGACACAAATATGCCCCGCACTCTCCTTAAAATAGCAGTCAAAACCTTATGGGGTTTCTCCTTTGAAACCAAAATACGAACATAAATTCCAAGCATGTTTGAGCGGACTTCGCTGGGTGACAAAAATTTATTTTCGCCACGCACGCAAGCAAACAAATTAAATTGCAAATCCTTATTAGCTTCCTCCACATACATAGAGAAAGCAACAAAAGCAGCAATGTTGTTGTCGAGTGCTCCGACCAGTATTTATGGCACTGGCACTCAGCTTTTTGAAATTATTTTTCATTTTTGGCTGCGATTGAAGAGGCCATGTAGGTGTGTGGAAATTTTATAAAATTGTTGTCGAGATTTCAGAGATGCAATAATAGCTGGAGTTGCGAAATCCATTTAAAAAGCTGTCAAAAGGTATAAATAATAGTGATGTGAAATAGAAATATTGCAGACTATGGGAACTAACTTAACCCAAAGTAAATGTAAAGAAAAGTAAATAGTAACAAAAACATTACATTTGACTCTTTTTATAATCAACACATGGAAGTACAGTTAGTGAATAAGTCTTACGGAATAATATAGTAAAGAAGAAGAAACCCTAGAGTTCTTCCCAAAAACTTGTACGAAATTGAATTAGCGTTCATTCGCAAAATGGTTCGGCCAGTTCCTGGGAAGCTGCCACTTCCCAATCCCCTAACCTCGGGTAAATATTTACTCAGATCCCACTGCCACTCCACAGTCCTCCACAAGCTGCTCTCGTTTGCACACGTCTCAGGTAAAGAAAACATTCTAATTCTATTCAAATCAGGCACCGGACTGGGCTCATCTCCTTCTTCTGGTCGGGGCACCTTTCCGAGCACTTTAACATGGGCTGAGCGGCTTTTTGGATATTTTGTTTGCGCCCTGTGTCCAGTTATTGAATTCCACTTGTTTAGCTTGATTTTGTTGTGCTCTCCATCCAGCCGTTGTGGTTCTTGTTGCTGCTGTTGTTGGGCTGAGTAAACGTTGCAAAAACTTTTGCGTGTTAACAACATTTTTCAATATAAGTTGGCAAACTTTTTGTGCCCCGTACACTCACACACCCGCACACACCCACATGGACACACAACCTGAACATGTTTGCCAAAGCCAAAAGTAAAAGTCTATGGGAGGCAGCAAGTCAAGGATGTCAGGAGGTCGACCTCCTTCGTCCTGCTGTCTGTCTGTGTGCGCTGCAAGTGGCAGCTAAGATGATCAAATAAAGAAAAACTCTCAAGGGTGTTTTAGTTAAAGAAAATAGAGAAAGGAAAGTAACGAAACGATTCTCTGTCCCGATTCCCCTGTGCGAGTATCTGCCGCTGTTCAGGTGAAACTTTCTCTTGATGAATTGAATTGTTGACAAACGAACGAAGCGGCAAAACAGAAGGAAATTGTGTTTATTCAGTCATGTTACAGGCTACATTCAAGCCACACTATCCTCGGCCGCCAATGCAACCTGATTTCGATGGTGGCATTCATTCCTTACAATTCATTAAGGAAAATGGCTAGGTTGAGAAAATATTATACCAAGAATGCGATCTTAACTGGTATCCTTTAGATAAACATGTACTTTTAGACACCTGTCAACAAGTCTAGTGACTTTTAGTGACTTTTTGGTAATATTTTAGGTACTTAAGTTTTCGTTAACCATAAGAAATTCTTTTCACATTTATTAGTTTGACATTGCATTTTAGAACTTGGATTTTTTGACTAATTACTTTTGTACCCAGTCATTTATTCCTCGCATAGTGGTAACGAAGGGCACTTGTATTTACTAGTTGTCACTTGAAGCTGTCACAGCTTAGTCAGTACATAATCTACCCACTTACAAGCCCTACAAATTCCCAAAAAAAAAAGAGTACGTGCAGAGGTGGACCAACCTCCCAACAAATTGTCTGATGAAGTGCACTTTGCGCCAAGAGTCAGGGGGTTGGGTGAAGTGTTGGGTCAAGGGGTGCCATATTTGCCAACTGCCAGTAAAAGCGGACTACAAAATATGCTTAAATATGCATTATGCTCTTATGGACCAAGCGCCAAATACAGGAAACTTTGATGGTGAACAGTGCTGCCAGTAATCTAGCGATACCAACTTGTTAAGATAAAAATAATCTTAATTAAACAGTTCGAAAATTAGTTTCTTCGAAAACAGATTAAACCTTTCATTGAGTCATAAATATGTATCCCAAAAATTTCCATATATAAATATAGCAGCTTAACTTTTCTGAAATCAGAAAACAACATTATCTTTCAGCTTCAATCAGCATCACTGAACAGAGCAGACCAGGTGAGGATCTACAAGAACAAGGAACAAAAACGAAGCGGAACGAGCAGAACTCAACTCAAACTCGACTCGATTGCAGGTAATGGCACTTAAGCTTACAACTCGTGGGCCTGTGTGTGGGCTCTGGCACAGGTGGAAATGTAAATGCATCAAGCCCGAATCGTTCGAGCTGGTCACTGGGTTAGGATTGGGGCAGATGATACAGGACCCATGGCTGAAACTGGTGCCGGACTTACAGGACCCAAGCAGACGAAGCCGTGCAATTTCGTTCTGTTAAAAAGCATTTTCCAACTTTCGGCACACACACACACAGCCGGGCACGCAGTTTTTGCCAACTTGTTTCGTTTACTAATATTTCCGTGCAATACCATTGCCCTTGCCACCCTCAACTTTAGAAGCCTTTCCATTGGCTCAAAGAAAAAAAAAATAGGAACAAAAATTGGAAACGAAAATGGAATCAGAAAAAACTCTTTGCCAATTTCAAGTCAAGTCCACGGCTGTCAGGTTTTTCTTATACCAAAAACTGTCTAGATTTCTTTAAAAACAGTACATTTCTAGGGAAAATTAAGAAGTATTAACCATGTTAAAAGAAATGGTTTTAATTTATTTATGTTTACTTTGGAGGTAGAAAAGCAACCAAAGAGTTATGTCAATACAATTTAAATAATAAAATAACACGCATTTGATCGATCCATTAAAGGTTTTCCCTTTTCATTATTAATTTTAATTATTACAGAAAAAAACAAGTACTCTAAAATAAATATGTCCTGTAGCTTTCCACTTAATTAAAGTGGTAATTTGAAATGATTTTTGATTGGAGTAGCTAAAACTCAGAATGAAGCCCTTGTTTTGTATCTATTATATTACTCTATATATTTTTATGTATCTATAGATAAATGGTTTTCAATAAAATTATTTCCCTTAAAATTTTGTTTTCATCTAAAGCCCCACTGTGTAGCACGGCCTTCGCTCTATTGGCGTAGGCGCTTTGTTATTTCATGGCATCGTTTTGTTGCATGCAATATTTACACTAACAGTTGTGAAAGTTTGCCAACATGTTGAGCATATTGCGTTCTGTAAACACCGGCACAAACGCCCGCAAATACACCTGCCGCAGGCGGAAGGGGAAGAGAGAGCTCTCGGCGTTCTCCATCTAACTGTTTGTGCAGGCGCGGGCATATTTGGCTTTAAGTGCCGCCACTGTCGTCCAGCGGGATGCAAAATGCGGTTGTAAGTTTTAATACCTGCCACTTGTTAAGTATAAGGGCTTTTCATATTTGTTGCAATTTCTAAAGTGTGTGCAACCCTGGAAAGTACATATATTTATAAAGAGAGGACCAGTCTCCATCAAATAATATAGAAGACTTAAACTAGAATTTTGCTCGGCACAGTTAAATTGACAGCTTTTACTAGCTTTAAAAACAAATAGACGAACCTATTAATAAAAATAATTTCAGTGTCCTTGCCTTAACTCAATTTTCAACTTAAAAAATATTACATTCGCTTTTTCAAGATGCCAGAAATCAAACAGTTAAGGAGCTTACAAGAGGTGCACAGATTTTCATGTGGTTGATGCGATTTCAACAAGGATTTCTGGGTCCTTTCCTGAGTTTTATTTTTAATACTTACAATATATAATGCTACTAATATCAGGCATCTCTATATCATTCGATAAAATTAAGTCCCTTCAATCGTTACTTTTCATATCATTCAATTAAGAGAGCCTTAAAGTTAAACAGATCCTTCCGGGAAAGGGACAACAATGTGTAACCAATCATTTTGCTGACCTTTAAGGCGACACTTTCCCCCCAAAAGCAAGAAGATGAACAGACCCTGGGCAGAGGCACTCCATTATTCCCAGCGAGTACTTCACGCAGCAAACACATAACCTCACAGGCAGGGAGCATCCACTAAATCGTTTCGGACACTTTAACTATCCGCCGGGATGACCCGGCAAGCTCCACCAGAACAAAGAAGGTGAAGTCGTGCGCTCAGTGGCACAACGGAGCAGGGGTTCTGTAGGTGGGGCTTCTGGTCGCAATTCCACGTATGCGATTCTCCAATTCTATTCCGTACATATGTTTGCACAGACAATTCGACCGAGTGCGAGCGTGCCGGAAGTGCGGGGTGTGCGGAATATGTCCTCCGAATTCGATACCCCCGAAACTGAAACTGGACAGTTCGCTTGGAACTTTTTGCTCCACCCAAGCATCTCGCACTCCCCATCATCATCACTCCTTGTGGTATACAATTTTGTGTTGCTAGACTATGGAATACCCAGTCCTAGTCCAGGTATTAAGGGGTAATACTCAAGTTATACAAGCTCCGGTTACGGGATATAATTTCTATTATAACTCTAATTTATAATAGAATTTTAATACTCTTAATGATGGTTCTTGCTTACCAAAACATTATAC